ATATATTGTTCTGAGATCCTTTAGAGGAGGAGATTCCTCAAGGATTAGTCTTGAAATCAATAGGAGACTGCTTTTGACTATCTTGCTTGCCTTGCCTAACCAGCGTGTCTACTGCGTCAAGTAGTTCCTAACAATTCCTAATCCTTCTTTCTTTTGGTTACCCAAGGAAAAGCAATATGTCATCTAACGAATCTTCGTCGGAATTACCTCAAGGCACTTCGTCTGCCCCTGAATCACATTATCCAACCCAGGCAGACATTCAAGAAGTGCAAGCCACCATTCACCGATTGGAACAGTTAAAGCAATTGAAAGAACAGGTTCAAGTATTGCAAACAGAATGTGGAGGCATCGAATCCTTAACAGAATCACGACGACGCCGTACTAGCTCGACCTCATCTTCTGAACAAGAAAAGGGAGAAATTAAACTCAAGGAAATCCCTATTTTCTCCCTTCGGTTCAGTTTACAACAGAGAACGGAGTGGATTCGTGATCTACTACATACTTTTGAGGGAGCCCCTCGGAAGTATCGAACAGAGAATCGAAGGGTCCTAGCCGCAGTTAGCTATTTGGACTCTACCTGTCGGCAGAGATGGTACCGATACATTGATGAAAAATCCCCGGAAGACCGCCGAAATGCTAAGGAATCGTGGGATCACTTCATCCAATGGACTCTTTCTCTTATTCGAAACGCAGCTACCCTACAGTCTGATACTATGGGGCAGCTTGAACGGGCCCACCAGCGAACTGATCAGGATCCGAGAGAGTTTCATTCTTACTTGGATACCTTAGAGCGTCACTTCGAACCCAAACAAGACAACGAACGTGCATTGACCTTCTTTTCAAAGCTGGCACCGGAACTCAGTCGATACATCCATGAACATGTATTGAAACTACCGGACTCCCGAGAGGAAATGGTATCTATTGCCACCCATTATTGGAATATGTTGAACCGAAAGAGGAAACGAGATCCAGAGGGCCGAGGATACTATCCAAATAAGGCTTTCAGAGGATCCGGACCTTCGCAGCCCAATAATAAGTTCTCCCCGTCTAAATCCCCTCGAAACGGAAGGAATCAAAGAGGGGAAATCCTTCGCTGTTATAAATGCAACAGTGAATACCATTTAGCCAACCGATGCCCTCATAGGGGTAAAGATGGGACCGAACCAGAACCGATGGGAAAAGGGCAGTAGTTGAAGAAGCCCCTACGTCTTCAACGAACTGGCCTGAAGTAGGGACTGCTACTCGCTTCAATGTGCCTATTCGCTTCAGAAACACACTCGAAACCCACGCGGACTTGGATTCGTGCGCTGAGGTTGACCTTGTTAGCTATCAATTTGTTCAGCAATTCCATCCAAACGCAGCCCGCCTTACAGCCCCACTGGTTGCTGCAATTAATCGCCTTACTATAGACACCTATGGTGTGTGGAAAATCCCTATCACCGCTACTGATTCGAGGGGAACTACACGATCATTCGTGAGGTATTGTGTGGCTATCAATCGTGATCCAGATCTTTCCGGAAGCCCTATTCTACTTTCAATGACCACCTTAGAAGACCTACGCATTCACCTATCCGCATGGAATCGACAGTGGTGGTATGAGGCCCAAATATTGGAGGTCTTATCCCCTCACAAATTTACAAAAGCTTGCCGAAATCTTGCCCATGTTCATGCTGTCATCAAACTCCCAGAGGATGTCTGGCTACCAGAAGATGAAGCCTCCTCGAATTATTCACGAATTGGACCCGATAAGGTCACATTACCTTCTGAGCTCCAAGATTTTGCAGATGTATTCTCTTCTAGTTGCTCTCAACAACTTCCTTCTCACGGACCCTCGGACCATGCTATTGATCTAAAAGATGGCGAAATTCCACCGCATGGACCTATTTACCCTTTATCTCAAGTTGAGCTCCAATCCCTCCGTCATTATATTGATGAAAACATTCGATTAGGACGAATTCGACCTTCCAAAAGTCCTGCAGGAGCCCCTATTCTTTTTGTGCCAAAGAAGGATGGAGGCCTCCGATTATGTGTGGATTACAGGGGACTCAATAAGGTTTCAGTTAAGAATCGCTATCCTTTACCCCTGATTTCAGAAATTCTAGACAGGATTGCAGGAGCCAAATATTTCTCCAAGCTAGATGTTCAGGATGCGTATTACCGAATTCGCATCAAACAGGGAGACGAATGGAAGACGGCCTTTCGAACCCGCTACGGGCATTTCGAATATCTAGTTATGCCCTTTGGATTAACCAACGCTCCGGCTACGTTTCAAAACTATATCCATTTGGCTCTCTATGATGTGTTGGACGTTTTCTGCGTCGCTTATTTAGATGATATTCTCATCTTTTCAAAGGACCGCCCTTCTCATACTCTTCATCTACATCAAGTGTTGGAACGCTTACGAAAAGCAGATCTTTATGTCAAGCTATCAAAGTGCACTTTCTACCAAGATCATGTTGAATTTCTAGGATATATTATATCCTCGCGTGGTGTGTCGATGGATCCCCGACGGGTATCCGACATTCTTGCGTGGCCGATACCAACTACATACCGTGAGATCCAAGTATTCTTGGGATTCTGCAATTTTTATCGGCGTTTTATCAAGAATTATTCCTTGATTGCGTTGCCACTGACCTCCCTTTTGAAAGGCACCCAGAATGGGAAGAAGCCTGGGAGAGTGGCATTGACTAGTGAAGAAACGGCAGCGTTCCGACAGCTTCTTCATAGTTTTGAGACTGCGCCTTTATTAAGGCATTTTGACCCTCAACAGAAGATCCGGATAGAAACGGATGCTTCTCAATGGGGTATGGCAGGGATACTGTCCCAGCCGGGTGACCATGAAGTATACCACCCTGTTGCATTCTGGTCGAAGAAGTTTAATGGTGCTGAAACTCGCTATTCGACCCCAGACCAAGAGCTTTTCGCTATTGTTTATTCATTTAAGCATTGGCGTCAATATCTTGAAGGGCCATCGCATACTGTTGAAGTTCTTTCAGACCATCAAAATCTCCAGACCTTTATGAAACAGCCGAAGCTGAACGGCCGTCAGGCTCGATGGTGTATGTACCTCAGTGGTTATGACTTCATTATTCGACATCGGCCCGGTAGGCGCAACCCTGCCGACCCGCCGTCGAGAATGAAAGGAGACTCAGAAGTCCTGCCTGATACGGAGGTTCTGAAGTCGATGCAGCATCGAATAGCTGGTGAATCCCTTGTGAGATCACAGCTAGTCTCGGAGAAGTTCCAGCTGGGGTGTGACGAGACGTCTTTACAGGAGAGCCCTGAACCCCATACCCGCCAGCGTGCGTTGAGTTCATTAGGATCTGAATATGATCGAACCGGTATAGAAGCAGTTGGCTGGACTGTCGGAGCAAAAGTGTTCCGTGATCCATGCGTCAATGTGTCGGCAGCGTTCCGAGCATGTGAGCATGAGGACTTATTGTGTCCTGAAACTGTTGGAGCAAGCTTGTTCCATGACAAATGTGTCAGTGTATCGGCAGCGTTCCGAGCATGTAAGAATGAAGACTCATTCTGTCCTGAGATCAACGAGGAATTGTATTCCCTGATCGGAAGAATCCAAAACGGAGACATGGAGACACATCGTCGAAAACTTGCCGTTTTAGAAGGTAACCCTGGGTCCAAACATTGGAGAATCAACGAGGATAATCTTGTTACGTACAAGCACCGCTTGTATATCCCTGCAGGACAAAGCCTTCGGCAACGTTTATTAAGCCTTTATCATGATGATCGGCTAGCAGGCCATTTTGGACAATCAAGAACAGAAGCCCTTCTTAGGAGAAAGTTCCATTGGGTAAACCTCCACGAAGATGTGGTTACCTATGTCAGGGAGTGCCCTGTATGTCAAGGAGTTACATTTGCTAGGCATAAACCATACGGCGAGCTCGAATCGCTGCCGATTCCTAGCCGACCCTTCGTCGAACTATCTATGGACTTTATTACAGGTCTACCTCCTGTCATGACAAAAGACAATATTTTGGATTCAATCCTTGTTATTGTGGATAGGTTCACGAAGTGGTGTCGATTTCTACCTGTTTCATGCACTATAACTGCTCCAGAACTTGCTGAACTCTTTCATAGGGAGATTGAACTCCAGTTTGGACCACCTCAGGGTATAATCTCAGATAGAGGTTCCCTTTTTACTAGCAAATTTTGGTCCCGAGTTGCCTACCATACTCAGGTTAAACTCCGTTTGTCGACAGCGTTTCGACCCCAGACCGATGGTCAAACTGAAAGAATGAATCAGACTCTTGAACAATATCTTCGATGCTTTGTTGATGAAAATCATCTGAACTGGCCTACTCTACTGCCTTCTGCTCAATTTGCTTGCAATAACGCTCCGAATTCAACTACTGGTTATTCTCCTTTCGAGGCTCTCTTAGGCTATTCGCCTGACTTTCACCTTCGTGCCGAGGTCGGCACTTCCCAGAGAGAGGTCCCTGCAGCTAAAGATCGAATTGATAAGCTAGCTGTACTACAGGAAAACCTACAAAATCACTGGCGAAAAGCCAACGAAGCGACAAAGGAGCGCTATAACAAAAAACACCAGCCAATAACTTTCAAGAAGGGAGATCTCGTGAAGCTGTCCACCAAGAATTTAAAAATCAAGGCCCCATTTCGGAAGCTAGCTCCTCGATATATTGGACCCCTGAAGGTCCTAGCAGCTATTGGAAAACAGGCATATCGAATTTCCCTGCCTGACTGCTATAGTCGAATCCACAATGTCTTTCATATATCGTTGTTGGAACGATGGGAATCCAGTGCAGATTCGCAAGACCAACTCCACCCCCCAGATTTGGAGGAGGAAGAGGAGTTCGAGGTCGAAGATGTCAAAGACGAGCAGACTTTTGACAATGAGCAGTATTTCCTAGTCAAATGGACGGGCTGGCCAAGTGAATATAACGAATGGGTCCCGGAAGAATCTATGGGCAACGCCCAGCAAGCTATTCGAAGCTACAGGAGGCAAAAGAAGAAATTGGGGCGGCAGAAAATGTCTTATTCCTAAATACAAGGGAGACAACCGAATCCACATCGAATTGCCATGTTAGATACATTCAAAGGTCAACGCTGAAATGCGTGATCGAAACAAAAACCCCTGCAAACGAGCCGGACCCCCATCGAAAAACTACCGGACCAACCCGGCCAATTGGTGCCATCCTCACAGGAGATGAGCGGCGAAGGGCCAGGACTGCTTCACCTCTTGGATGCGGAAACCCTGGGGGGAGGCCTCGTCGCCATATATGGCACACACCTCGCGGCAAACCCCCTCGAAGAATGCCTGCTTGGCCCCAGTCCACAAAAGAAACCCGTCATCCCCGGGCATCAGGCGAAGCATAGTCGGATCGTCCGCGATGGAACGACGGCCCGCGACAAAGGAGCGATAGGGAACCAGGTTGGGCTAGCAAATTAGCCCACGAATTGACGGGAAGTCGATGGGGAAACGTACGGTAACCTTGGACTTGCTGGTGCCGGTCAGCCCATGCTCACGG